TGCAATACGTCATTTGATTTGACTGCTGCTTCCATGAGTGTTGATAGTTGATCCAAGAAGATTGAAGTCCTTGACAACTTTAATCTTTTCTCCATTGATAAGAATGTTGTTTAATGGTCCAAGGGTAAAGATTTGTGTTTCCTTGACACTGAGATGTAATCCATATCGAACAGTGCTCTTTGATCTTCATCAGTAAATAGTTTAAGTCCTCTTCACCTTCAGCCAGCAAGGTTGTATCGTCTGCATATCGCAGGTTGTTAATGAGTCTTCCTCCTATCCTGATGCCACATTTTTCTTCATATAACCCAGCTTCTTGGATTATTTGCTCAGCATACAGGTTGAATAATTATTTGCTCAGCATTACAGGTTGAAAGAATACAACCTTGTCACACCCCTTTTTTTATTTTAAAACATTCGGGGTTCACATGTTTTGTTCAAAAAACTGCTTCTTGGTCCAGGTACAAATTCCTCATGAGCACAATTAAGTGTTTCGGAATACTCATACTTCGCAATGTTGTCCATAGCTTGTCATGATCCACACAATCGAAAGCCTTTGCGTAGTAAATAAAGCACAGGTAAACATCTTTCTGATATTCTCTGCTTTCAGCCAAAATCCATCAGACATCAGCAGCAATGATATCCCTCATTCCATGGCGTCTTCTGAATCCGGCTTGAACCTCTGGAATTCTCTGTCAATGTATGATTGTAGCTGTTTCTGTATTACTTTTAGTAAAACTTTACTGGCATGGGATATCAAAGCGATTGTCCAACGATTTCCGCATTCTGTTGGGTCACGTCTCTTTGGAATGGGCACAAATACGGACCTCTTCTAATTAGTCGGCCATATAGTTGTTTTCCATATTCCTTGGCAGAGATGAGTGAGCACCTTCTGTGCCACCTCACTTTCTTGAATGATTTCAATTTTTACTCCATCAATTCCTGGTGCCTTGTTCTTTGCCAATTCCTTCAATGCACCTTGACCTTCCTTCTTCAGTATTATTGACTCTGGATCATATACTACCTCTTGAAACGGTTGAACATTAACCATTTCCTTTTGGTACAGTGACTCTGTGTATTCCTTCCATCTTCTCTTGATGCTTTCTGCATCATTCAATAATTTG